CCTCCCAGACAAAAGGAACAACCTGAGAAATGCATCTGCCTGCTGATATTATGAAACCAGAGTTGAAACTCACAACAGAGACAGTAATTAGTATGGGTATTGTTCCAGGTAATTTTAGATCGTATTCTCACCACCCAGTGAAATGTGATGCTATAGCCTGCAACCTGAAGGAGAATAGCATGTGCAATATATAATGCTTTTCAAAATGATGCTCTATTTTGATCAAATCTCCATTAAGTGGCATGAAAAAAAAAAAAAAAAAAACAAACCTCACTCTGGTAGATCACTTGGAATGAGGAAAAAAAATATAAAGTGAAAATCTCTGAGTAGGAAAGAATTGGTGGTATTGAACCTTGGTGTGGTTTAGATCTCAGCCATGCTCCTTTCTAGCTTATGTAAAACAAGTGGAAAATTCTATTCTGTCAAGTAGCATTTTTTGTCCATGCTGTACTCCCTTTAGCTCAGTGTAACTAGCAGTGTCAGCAAAAGACCATGGGGAAAACATGTCTGTGGTCACTGACTGCAGCTTACTGCCAGGATGCCCCTGTGAATACCAGGGAGACAGGAAGATTTCCTGCTTCTTAAGAAGATATAGATACCATTTGATAAGTGAACTCCTACTCTTTCCTTGACTTTTCCATCCCCTCCTTCCAATTCACTTGCTGTGCTGGGCAAAATCCAGCACAAGGGGAATATGTACTGGCATCCTTTATGTTTAAAAATTACACAAGAGCAGAAGGAGTTTCAAATTATAGGGTGGTTGTTTCGGGTTTGTTTGGGTTTTTTCTAATTACAACATTTGTGTCCTTTTTCTTTAATATGAATTTAATAATAACAGCATGTTTTCATGGCTTTCATATATTTTCCCTACTATCAAGCATGAGGGCTAGCAACTTGCTGTCCATCTAAATGAAAGTCTTGCAATTTCATATGAATCCAAAAAGCTGTGCTTCTAAACAAAATACCAAGAATAATAAAGAAAAATACAAAAAGAGGTATGGTAGTGTTATTAGAGAAGATAACATTTTTCAGGGACATCAGTTAAGCACACTCCCGGGTATCTCTTTATGAAGTCCAGCCATTTAGAGCTGCTTTAGTCATATACACAAAGATGCCTTCTAACTCATTCCCTCTTAGGCCTTTCAAAAGTAGCATCATATCACAGCTGTGTACATCCCTTCTGTTGGTTATGGGTTGTCGCAGGCAGACCTTATCTGACTCTTGACGTAATTTTCCAAATGAAAACTAGAATACAAGTGAAAAATTGTGCCGTACTAGTGACAGATGCAGCCCACTCTCCTTAAGCGGTTCACCTGAATTCGATGCTCTGGGTTTACAGCCCAACAAAGGCTTGTGAGCAGAAGATTGTGTTTTCTAACATCCTGCAGGTCCCCTTACATGGTGGTGCCTTGGACAAGTGCACTCACTGGCTTAGAGCCCTGCCCCATACAACGTATGTGAGCATGACATTGTTTCCATAGAGGCTGCCTGCTTTAGGCATTTAGTCTAAAGGGCAGTTGGAAAATTTTGTGAGGATACAGAGATTTTTAGCAAGAAAAAGTCCCATTCATAATGCTGCTGAAAAATTATCCTTATTTGGCCTTATACTGAATATTGTGTCAATATGAGGAACCTGTCCCAGGGAACCTAAGACCACACAGCAGCACAGAAAAAAATAATTGTACTTAAAACATAACATCTGCCATTCAATGAGTAAATAAAGAGCAATACAATGCAGAGCAGACATTACAAATTCATGTGACAGTACTATGAAACTGAGAAAATCTGTGATTACATGGTGTCACGTTCACAGCAGGACATGACACATGGGCAATAAATGAGAGAGAAAATACATAGCAAAAACAAACAGTATTTAAATTCAAAATTTTGTCTTAAGGGCCATCAGCAAGTGGCCAATGCATTAGAAAAGAAATCTTGTCTAAGGTCAGAAGCTACTTTTTTAAAAAAGGTCCCAAGTAATCAGTATGAACACAGGTTCAGTGACAGAGGAACACTAGTTTATTGTCACTAACATGATACTGTTTTTATAAAAGGTAACTGGATGTTAATACTAAATTATGTTCCTCTATTTGAGAGAACACATCTCTTTCTAGTACAGATTATCCTATTCTATAGAAGGCAAATGAATGCATCTACTGGATTTGTTGCCATAAAGCTGTGCACTTTAACCTTTTGCCAGCTCATTTCTTGCTTTCCTCCCTTCCAGCATTTCTTCAGTCACTATTTCCTTTTGAAAGGATTAAAGCCACACTATACATGTGATGTCTCTATTTTCTACCTGTTATTTCTAAAGATACCACATAGATTCTTACCTTGCATTACGTCAAATTACGATACCTTTCACTATTTAAAATGTTAAACCCCAGTAAAAGAATTAAGTGATAATCTACTCTGAGATACCACAATAAGTTATCAGAAGAATGGATGCCTAGCCTTGTTGTAATCTTTGGGAAGATGTCTATCAATTCCATATTTCATCCAAATGAATTACTTAAGACTCACCTTAACTCATATCCCAACCCTCCTGTAACAGTATGGCTAGGTTCTCCTCCTTCATACTATCTCAGGATCTAAGTCTATGATATTTATGTTTATCGATTTTTAAGGTGACAAGGCCCACGATCATTTCCTGTGCTTTACAGACTAATAGCCATCGCTTGGTTTTGAACACAGTAATTGGTCAAAACAGTGTTTCCTACCCACCACGTCTCAAGCCCAAAAGAGAGCAATGGGAATAGATGGATTTGTGATGTATTAAATAATGAAGAGAACGCTACTGGAAGAAAATCTTGCTTTCCTAGCTTCCACATGCTGGGCAGTCTTGGGAAGAGTTTTTAGTTGTTAATACTGACCTGTTGTTATTAGTCTCCAAATGGACTGTATCTTTGTATTTGAATAACAACAAGAAGGGAAGGGGACAGGACTGAAGGGCACTGATCTCCCAGATGATCTTTCCATCTCCAAGTGACTCAGATGATTTACGTACATGAGAAATGTCCCTGCCACAAGGTTCAAGACTTTAAGAGACCCTCTGTGTGCTGCCACTGGCTTCAGCTGCTGAGAGACCAGTTCCCTTCCTCATTTCAGCTGCAGCATCCTGCCTCCCCAAATCTAAAAGTCAAACCCTGCCTCTGCTCTCAAAGTATTCAAGTCACCCTCCTGAATCAGGCTTGCTGTAAGCAATGAAGCAGTGAGATGCTTTTCTTTAATTGTCCTTTTTCAAATTCATATGAAAGTATGATAATTCATTAAAGGCTTGCCAGTCTGAAATCATCAAGGAAATGAGACAAAAAATCCTTCCAGAAATGTGTCCATACTGATCTCAGATGCAAATCAAGGAGACCACTAGACAGGGGTCTGATTTTTGCCCGGCTTCTGCCACTGATTCACTGCAATGCTTCCTGTAAGTCATTTATTGTGCACCAATGTGCTTATTGATGGAGGAAAACCAGTATTTATTTCCTTTCACAGAGTTGTCTTGAGTCTTACTCACCACTGCTTGTGCAAATCTTTGGATGAAAGAAATAGTAAGAGTTCTAAGCTCTTAATATATATTACTTATTGTACTTTAAAACAAATGTCATCACTCTAGGTAGGAATTAACATTCCAAAGTCCATAGGGTGGGTACCTTTTCATACACATATATATAAAAGTCATCAAGTGATCTTTCTCAGAGGAAGGCTGACTGAAGACAGGTGAGTCTGTATTCACTCATAGAATATTTATTTAGAGCCAGAAGCCTTGGGTTTATTTTAATTTAGCATTTTGTCAATATTGTGATTGCTATGCTCTTTCTACCTACAGTCTGTAAGGATTTTTGAGATGGGAGGGAAAAAAAAGGCAGATAACTTGAAACTTTATAATCTGGCAATTTTCTGCATGTGCTACAGCCCGTAGCTTTCCATGGGGCCCCATATGGGTTTGCCATTGAATCCATAGATATTCAGTCAAGCTATATTGATCCAGGCTTATAAATACTGTTTTAGTGTTAAACCTCAAACAGAGCTACTGCATGCAGTCAGCTCCAGATGTGGACATTTGCTGGCCAGAATAAGCTCACTCAGGACAAGAGAATTTTTCCAATGACACCGGTGGACTATTTGTGTCTCTGCATCCATGCAGACTGGTTTGCTGTAGAAATACAGGCTAGAGAAAAGGTCACACATCACCAAAATCAATAAGGTATTTTAAAGTGTTAATAGCATTGCCTGATGATTGCACGAGGCTCATGGTGTGTTTTGTATTTGAAACCCTCTCAGGGGAAAAAAAAAATTTTAAGTTGTAAAAACTGCTCAGTTTAAATGCACTCACCAGCAAGGCAAGTACAGTCAATGTTTTCTTCCTATTATCTGACAACATTCTGGAATTTTATTAATAAGCACAGCAGATGCATTTATTGCTAAAGTGATTATCTTCCATTATCACACACAGAAATTAACACAGAAGTATTATTTCACAAGATAAATTTTGGAGTTGCCTTGCATGTTCTTAACAAAGAATTAAGGGTCATATTGCTTGATTTTTGAAAACGTGTTTCTCCAAAAGCCAAGCAAAAACTCCATTGCCTTTAGAACAGAGAGGCAAAGGATGTGTGCACTCTGTAGCATATTAGACTTCAAACACCTATATAATTAAAGCAAAGGTGCTATACTTTCTCATCGTAAAGACATGCTACGGGGGTTCAAGAGGGGTCATGTGAGCAAGCGATGTGAAGTGACAGGCACTAAAAAAATCTCTGCTGGCCCAGGCTGCTGACAGGGACCTCCCTTCTGAGCTCCCCAGGCTTGGCCTTTCCATCTCAATGCGATGGTGTAGTGGCTCACAAGAGGGGGAGGACATTCAGCTGCAAGAGAAGCCTGTAACCCCCAACCAAGTTGGAAATAAGGAGCAAATGGGATGCCCATCACTTGCTTCTCCTCCCAGCACCACTGACTGAAGCTGGTGGCTGCATCCTGTGCTGCGGAGAGGGTGTCTCTGCTCCCCAAGCCATCTTCAGCTGATGCCATCCCTGTCTGGTGCCTCAGGGTGGGAGCTTCTGGCATGCAAACTTTGCTACAGGGATGTTAAGAATGAGCACTGATTTCTTCATATTTTGCAAACCACTGTATTTCCAGGTTGCCTGGGGTAGCTGAGGAGAGCCATCGCCATGATCCCCACACTGCTTTTGCTGGGCCTTACAGCCCTTGTCGGTGAGCCAGGGTTTGGGTTTGGGCTGCTATCAGAAGCATCCTGGGAACTGTTTGCAGAGGGACTGTGGAGAGGAGGTGTGCAGTCAGGTCTGAGGTCCCCTTTCTGTGTGGAGCTGTAAAGCCCTGTGTGGCTGAAGGTCCTTGGCTGCTGTATGAGGCTGCTTGACTGACGCCCACGTGTGTCCTTTAAACCAGCATGTCTGAAGTATGGAACTGGCACAAAAAGGGAGTCACAGATACACCTCCTCTTGATTTTCCCAGCTGATCTCGCTGATCTCGCTGGCTAGTCAGTAATGGTCTCACAAAATGAGTCAAGCTGTTTGATGGAGGCTATTCATTCCTCAGTTACCGAGGAAGCAGAGTAATTTGCCCAGGCTGAGGCAAGCACTCTCCTGAATTAATTCCTTACCAAGTTATGGAGGGACACAGGAGATGCTCCCGGCCAAGGTGCTCAGGTACCGCCAGCCATCATCCGAGGGGTCCTGGACATTGGTGGGCATTGAATCAGAAGAGCCCTCTGAAATAAATGCAGAGGCTGTGAATCCCTTCTCTCACACCTTCTCTTCTTTAGACCTAACAGGGCAGACACCTATTCATCTAGATTGTCATTAGATTAATTCACTTCAACCTGTTCAATTAGAAAAGAACAAATTTCTGTTCTTGAGCTTTCTTTGATACCGTTACTGATGGAAAGGAGTGGCAACCATACAAGCATAGCCAACACAAGGTGATGTGGATTATGGGTCTGGATGAATCCCTCATGCTTGACTTGTATGCACTTGCAGCATGCTGTACGATATTGCTCTGAGATCTAACGTGCTCAAACACCTCCATTTAATTTTGCAGCTCCATCCATGAGTTACAGTTGCTATGGTGATATAAGTGCTCTTCAAGCCCCCACTATCTCCTGTACTGCCGTAAGAGCCCCAGACTGTGGTAGGTATCATTCACTGCTTGATTTGTCAACCTGTTTGTACCTGACAGAGAGATGCTTCACCTTACATGTTTGCCAAATTAAATGTGGTGCAGCTACTCAGTTAGCCAAAAGGGAGAAAGCAACATCTTCTCTCCCAAAATGGCAGGTGCTGTGAAGACTCCAGACCTGGGAAGTGGGATGACAAACTTTGGGTCCCATAGTCAGGATCCTCATCCTCTAAGCAAAGGGAAATGGCACAATCAGGTTTTTTCAGTTTAAACAGCTTCTTCATCAGCCAGGACTTTAGCACAAGTGTCCTCACAAAACCCTGGGGCCTGTCTGCTCAAAGGTGAAGATGTGCAGAGCCAGATCCTGAGTGCTGGCTTGTCAGCTGAGCTAGCCAGTGGTGACCTGGCAGAGACACAATTTGCAGGAGGAAGGTCCCAGATGTGTAGCCATCCTACCTCTGGGTGACCCATTTTTGATAACTCCTTCCCATTTCCCTCTTTCTTGCCTTGTGCTATTGCCCTGTGTCACCACACAGTTGACTACATCAGGTTCACACTGCTGAGATCTCCAGGGACTTTGCCATATACCTCAGACATAGACACCTCCAGGGTATGACTATGGGTGTCCAAGCATGGATCTGGATCCACTTGCTTGTTTCCAAACTGTTCCAAAATTACTTTTAAAAAACCCCCACCTTTCTATACACAGACTAACAACATAGCTGTTACTGCAGTTTGGCCAGTCAGTAGTAATGCATCACTTGATTTTTTCAAATGCAATTTGAAATTTCAGTTTTCTGACTCCAGAGCCATATTTCCAGTGGTGCAGCAGCAGAAGAAGACCACATATGCACGGTCCCACCCCCTGGGAAGCTGCCTTCTTCCCCTCGTCATCCTCGGGTACTGGCACGGCAGCTCCCCAGCCAACAGTTAGATCCTATAGAGCTGTGCTTGTTCCTCAGGCACCACTGCCCAACTCGACATAGCTGCCTTCTTTTCAAAACTCATGTTACTCATTTGATACAACTGCTCAAGGGGAAAGTGAGGGTTTTGGATGGGAGGGTGTGTAAATCTACCTTTTTCTATACTGCAGGATTTACCACAATACAGAGGTCTGCTGAGGCAGACATCGTACGCCTGAGGAAATACGAGATCCCCATTAAGAGAGTAGCCAGAAACCTGTGCTTGGACCCAGCGCTCATCGCTGCCATCATCTCACAGGAAAGTCGTGTTGGCCTGCTGCTGGACAACGGCTGGGACCAGCAACGGCATAAGTATGGCTTGATGCAGGTACATGAAGATAATTAAGTATGAGTAACAGGATAGTAATGTAGTGTATATCTCAGGGCCTTACCTTAGCAAAAGAGTATTCTGTGTTTGAGACAGCACTTAAATGTGTTCCTTCTACAGCAAAGGTTGTGCTTAAGTGTTGTCCTGAATAAGGTCACTTCAGTGAGTCACAGACTGGGAGTACAAAGAGGGGAAAACTACAGTGGTGGTTGTGTTCAGAGGGAAACCCATTTTCTTGCTTGACTTTCCTAGCTTGGTGGGCAGCAACACCACCCTTTCGGAGTATGGGATAGTGAAGAACACATAAATCAGTGCTCAACTATCCTGGTCCTTTCAATTAATGAAGTACGGGCAAGACATCCTACCTGGACCTGGGACCGGCAGCTGACAGGTACCTGATGGGCTATATACTAGAAAGGGAGGCATGCTGAGTGATGGGAGTGATGTGCATTTGTTGGTGTCACTTTTAAGGGAAGAAGAGCATCAATCTGGCAGATTTTGCAACTTCCCTTACAAAAACAAAACAAAACAAAACAAACCCCAAACACCCCAGAAATGCAGTTTTCTAGTTTAAAAGAGGAAATCCCAAAACAGCAGACTGGCAAGAGGTCTGAATATAGATTCAGTCTCCCAGATCAAAGCACTGTTCACAGGGCCTCCATGTTTCTGCCAACCAAACAAAAGCCACTGGGGAAGGCACAAAATGAGGTGCTGCAACACAACAAGCTTATCATGGCAGGATGTTGTGTCAAGGAAACTTGGGATCCAAGTTTGCTTGTGGTGTATTTTAGCTGCATGCTAGTTTGTTTACCTTATGCTATTCCTTACTCTCCCATCCTTGCTCTGCCACTGCCTGTTTAGATTACACCCTTTTGTGGGGCCAGCATGTCATTCCCACCTGCATTTGGACAGAGTCATGGGTTCTTTCACCTTAGAAATAAGGATTTTGCAAAATCAGTCACTCTTCAACAATAACGCACAATTAGCAATTTCCCAAGCAGTTGTGTAGGTTTGGTGAGATGCATGGCCCTTTTTACTTTTAAATCTCTATTTCTTACTTATAAGCCTGTAACAACTCCTTCTTAACTCTTTCCAGGGGGAATCTGCACCTACCGTGCAAAAATGGGGAACTTCCAGCTCTACGAGGAAGACCCATGTGACAGAGACAACTACTACGTCAACAGTGTGATTAGGCGAGCCCAGTACTTTAAAAGACATGGGTTTTAGCTCATAAACCTGCCCTGCCACCAAGCTTCTCCTCTACATAGACTATCCCATTAGTGATTGTAGTACCCAGAGCAGTTCCTCAGGTCTCCTGGCAGAACCGATGCTGATGGCAACAGCAATGGCACCTTGCTTGCTCCAGAAAACCCCAACTCCCCACTCAACAATGGGCAAGCTCAACACTGTCTTCCAGGGGACACCAAGACAAGCGGGGACAGATCAGCAAAGTTTAAGTGTCGGGTGAGGAAGGTACCTCTTCCCATTCAAAGCTGGACCTGGAGCTGTTCGTGCAGCCCCCAGGCACAGGCATGCAGGCAGCTCTTGTTCTTCCCATCTCCTTCCCCCTCCCTGGTCAATGGGGGGATGAAACCACTGAGTTAAAGTCTTCCTTACCCTTGATTGTGCTGGCTACAGGGCAATGAGGAGATTTCTTGCCAAGCCTTAGGTCTCTGCACTAGCTGTGAATTCTTGTGGCCAGCCTCGCAAAGGACAACACTAAACATGTTTCTGTTAGTCTTCTGAGCCCTGGAGCGCACAGTCATGGTGGGGCTGAAGACTTCTTCAGGGTGAAAAGCAGCCTCATACAGGGGAAATCCTCTGTACAGGGTGTACTGCCAGTGCCATAGCAGGCATGCAAGACACCTTTCCATTAGAGAGCAGCCCTCTCAGCAGGAGCTGGCCCCTTATGTACCTGCCCCAGGAGCTGTATCACAAGTGTTGCTAAAAAAACCCACAACCTTTCCTGCTTTAGCTTTGGCACCTTTACGCTGTGTTTTCTCCAAGTCTAAAAGTGCTTCAGCATCTGTCCCTCTGCCAGGAATCCCAGCTTCTAATTAGGAGTGAATTAGCTCTGGCTTTATAAGATCTGAAGGTGTTCTTCAATGTGGATGGGTCTGGGTGAAAATTTAGGTTTACTGAGAATAAAAGAGAAAATGAAGATTAATGCTGAATCCCTTTTTATTTTTTTTCATGGGCCTGGTGGGCAGCAACCTGCAATTTGAATAAATAACCCTATTTAGTACTCTTGGAATGAGTCTAAAACTCAGTTTGAAAACAAGAAGAGGAAAATGATGCTGCAGACTGGGGTGAGTGAGAAAAGCTGGGCTGCGATGCAGGGCATGAGGCAGCCTGAACCCAGCCACTGCACTCAAACCTATGAAGAGAAGAATAAGGAAGCTCACATTTAGCCTTTAGAACAACCATTTTGGAGGCGTCAGGACACCTTTCTGCTGGCTGTCACCATTGCTGATGCAGAAGTGATGTGCCTGGCAGTCCCTGCCCAGCAACATGGGGCTGCCGGGCAGGGTCAACACAGGCAGCGTGAGAGCTGGTTTGGAGACAGCTTTTTCAAGCAGAGAAATTTTAGTGCTGTGTTCCTTGTCTTGCCAGTCACTCAACTGCTTACCGTCACGGTAAGGATTGTGCATGATTAATATATTTGCAAGCAAACTCATTTTATCATTTCTGGAAACCAGAGGGAGCTCTAGGATGTCTCTAAGGTTAGTGATTTTTTTTTTTTAAGACTACAGAAAACAGTTCTGTGTTGAGCAACCACAGGTATTAAACTCTATATTGTTTAGTCTTCAGTGAATTCTGCACTATATTGATAACTTCAGTAAAATCATTACTTTGTAATACAAACTTATGAAACGTCATGTGGTTTGATCCCCTCTACTTGAAATAGCTTTTATAAAATTCATAGGTTGAAGTCTTTGGTGCATTATGTTACATAAAACTCTGTTACACAAACCTCTTATGTAAAACCTATGAATGCGTTTTTGGTAGATCAGTATAAACTTCAATTGGGTCAGGGAATCTTATTGTTGCCTATGAGTATAAAGTTGGGTTTTTTTGAGTTTGGAGGGTGAGCAAGAGCGAATCTTCTTTTGGTTCCCTTTGTGTCTCCCTTAACTGCTGCCAGCAAGCTCCCTGTCACCACTACTGGTGTTGCCATCCCTGCAGATCTGTGAGCTCCTCAGGAGTCCAATTTCTGCATGCATTACCTATGAACCTGCTGCTTCATGTTATGGTAGCAATATCCAAGGGCCTGCAGACCTGCCTGCTGGCTTGTGCAGCACTGCCATGAAGTGTTATTTATTTTTAAAGTCTATTTAAAAATCCTGATTATAGGTATTCCATATTTTGTTGCAAATATTATTTTAGGGTATCAGCACTTTGTAGTGAATAAGGAAAATCTCTGCAGCAACTGAGTTGAAACATAATCACTTGATAAATTGGCAGGAAGGAGTAAATTATTAAGGAAAATTTAACACTGGCATACTACCTTAAGATTTGAGCAAAAGCTTTCCTGACAAAGGGAGTTCAGATTGCTTTTCCCCTCTGATCTTTTCCTGGTCATCTGTGTTCATGTCACTGAAAGTTACTCATCTGGCTGGTGTACACAGGTCTGCTGCGGTCACACTCTTGGTCACCCTTTTAACCTGTGGTCTATTAAAAAAAAAAAAAACCAGACAGCTTGCAAAGTAAATGATCTAATACCAAGTAACATTAAAAAAAAAAAAAAAAAAAAAAGGCAGAAGCACAGGTGTCTTGTGTCTGGCTGGGCTGGAGTTAATTTTCCCCATAGCGGTCCCCATGGCGCTGTGCTTTGTGTTGGTCTCTAGAAAGGTGTTGGTAACACACCGGTGTTTCGGCTGCTGCTGAGCAGCACTGGCACAGCACCAAGGCTGTCTGGCCAACACTCCCCCCTCACCAGTAAGCTGGAGGTAGGCAAGATCTTGGGAGGGGACACAGCCAGGACAGCTGACCCAAACTGACCAAAGGGATATTCCATATCACATGAGCTCTGCTCAGCAGTAACAGCTGAGAGAAAGGAGGAGGGGGAGGGGGCATTCCCTATTAGGATGTTTGTCTTCTGGAGAAACTGCTATGTGTACTGAAGCCCTGCTTCCCAGGAAGTGGCTGGACATAGCCTGCTGATGGGAAGTACAGAATACATCTTTTGTTTTCCTTTGCTTCTGCACATGGCCTTTGCTTCTGGTTTATTAAATTGCCTTTATCTTGACCCATGAGTTCCTTTCTATCTTATTTTCTATCCCCCCATCTTGCTGAGGAGGGGAGTGATAGAGCAGCCTGATGGGCACTTGACATCCAGTCAAGGTCAACCCACCACAACAGGTAGGGAAAGAGAAAAGATAAATCAGAAGGGAAAGAAAGGTCCAGGGAATCACAGACCAAGATACCTGGCTGCAACATCGAGGAAGATGCTAAAGGATTGAATTACAGTTTTGCAAGCACTGGGGGGACCACAAACCAGCAACAAACAGTCCGGAGGGCTTTGGCAGCCTGGCTTGTCAGGGGAAAACCCCCTCAGACCAACCAAAGTCCTTATCTCACCAAGTAAGTGACCAAGAGAGGAGCCATGGTTGTGCCATATCATGAGCTCGATAAGGCTTTCGGCAGCAATGTGAAGTGCCCTCATTTGTGAAGGGTGTTAAGATAAGTACAAAAAGCACTGGTTATCAGCAGCTTGTGGTAAAACTGGTGAGGCATTTCAAATGGAGCCGCATAAGTCTGTCCTACAACAGTTTCTCTCAAATTTGTGGTTGGAGAATGAATGCTAGACAATAGCTATCAAACCATGGGTGACAGCCATGCTGAGAGGGAACACAAGCACTTCCACTAATGGTTAAAAGCCTGTTAGGAATCAAAGTACTGAAATAAAGTAAACATAGGTGCAAAACACTCAAGAAGCTCAAGCAGGAGCATAAGCAGGGGTGGAACAGGCAGGTGACCATTCCATAGAAAGGGCTGTGGGGCGGTCCAGTGGGAACCAAACTAGTAGATGCCAGGGGAGACAGGGGAAGGAGAAAAAAAAGGAGAGAGGAAATCACATTTGGAGATTTATCTTTATCATGGCACTGTGTATGAAGCACTTGGTGTAATTCTTCTCTCAGATGTTCAGATGTCAGCCTCAGTGAGGCTCAGCTACGGTATTTGGGTGTGCCACATGGACAAAAACATGCTCAGGAGGATTGCAACTCAAATGGCAGGTATAGCCTATAGGAAACAAGGAGTTAGACTTGCTTTTTTCTCCAGAGAAGAGAAAGAGGACACTATTATGGCATATATCAAATATTTTTAATATACAAAAGAAATAACGGTCAATGACCCATGTCCTTCCTTTCCCCTTGAGGATAAGGCAAGTAGCATTGAGTTTGACAGCAGGTTTGTGTCAGATACTTCAAAAACCTTTCAGGGTAATGAAGCAATACAGTATTCACTGGACGTAGAACAAACAAGACCAACATGTAAAACTAGTTATATGTCATACTGTTGTAGAGTAGGGAAATGCAGTAGGTGGTGTTTAAGGACCTTTCCAGGCCAACATTGCTGCATCAGAATCTGCAGGCAGCGAATCGAACAGATGACAAATTACATACAGGGAAGAAAACTCTTCTCTGTTAGGTTCCTCTGTTTTAGTAATACAACTGATGTCAGTATTGGGAAGTATATTTAAATGTGCTTCTTATAATAAACAGCAAATGTGAGGTGGTAAATTTTCTCTCTCATCCTCTCGTTAAGCTGCAGGCAGTATGGGCCGAGCCCTCCATGGCTCAGGCAGGGATCTGTCTAAAAACTGGGGCTTCAATGGCTGGCTTTCAGAGACACCAGGCAGAGGGAGCAATTAAACAATCTGTTTCAGCAGTAGCTGAGGCAGTAGGAAAACACAGCCAAAAGTAAGTTCGTGTGGGCCAGAGCCGTAAGCCACGTGGGCAAACAGATTGCTCTGATGACTGACTCTGAACACTGGAGTTGGATCACTTTGAGCCACATGTCCGTGTTGCTCCCTCTGAGAGATGCAGAAAACAAAGGGAAATGCCACCACAGCAACTCAGCGCTGAATAATCAAGTTTGTGTTCTGCTTCGTTACTCGTTGAAAAAGTAGGCTGGGATTTCCTAGCCACCAACCTGTTCCCAGAACGGTGCTTCTCTGGTGGTTGACTTGGGCACACACAGGACCACACCTCAAAATACTAGGATCCTCTTATGGGGTTTTCTTCCTGACAAAAACAACCTCATGTTTTATCCAGGCCAGAAAGGGCAACACTGGCCTCCGCTTTAAACTGGAGCTGTCGGGTGAATGTGAGAAACACTGTGGGAGTCATACTGGCGGTGGGCCAACCCTGAAGTCTGTCTCCAGAAGCAAGAGCAGGAGATGCTGCCAGGGGAGGACCCATGAGCTTGGCTGCTTTCTGCAGCCCATTTTCCTCGCTCAGGCCCAGCACCCCCAGCTGTTTAACAGGGGTGGCAGGAGGCATGTCCACCCTTTGTACGGCACTGTTCTCCATGAATCCATCCAGTCGCTTTAGGAATGTGCTGGTGCCGTCAGCCTCCACAGCCTCCTGGGTGGCAAGGCCATGGCCGTAGGTTCCTTGACAATACTGGATTGAATCTTTAGTAAAGCCGTTTTGAAGACCCATCTGTACTTCACCCAGTGGCCTTAATTCCATGTAGGCACTGACACTGTCCGAGAAGACCCTCAGGGACCAAGGCAGGACTGCCCCTTACGGGAGCCAGGCTGACCCTCTCCCAGCTGACCAGGTTTATCCATCACCTTGGTGATCTTATCTTTAATGTATTGCCCAGGATGGACACCAGCCCATGGTCCCGAGGGCCCCTCTGGAGCCAGTGCTGCAGTTGGGGGTGATGCCGGCCACCTCCCACCGTGCCAGCGCTGAGGCCTCCTGGCAGCAGAGGCCTTGCCCAGGCTGCTTGCTCTGCCATGGCACAGTGCTGTGCCCCCGACTGGGGCAGACTCACTGACAGGGAGGCTGTCTGTTTGCTCTAGCACTTACTAACTCTTTACACTGCATTAACCTGGCTCCTATTAACTGTCCCAGGGTGGGAACCTCGCCATGGCCTCCACAATAACAACTGGCATAAAGGCTA